ACATGATTAGACAGCCAAATTAAAAAGCGCGCTTTCATTGTTGCAACAATAACAGAGGAGTCAGAGTTGAACACCAGCTGTAACTGTTGATTTGAGACTCAGCCACGGCTACCGTGAGCGATAAGGAAGCTACATAACCTTTGACCGTCAAGCGTTGTCCAGTCGACATTGGAAGTGGAGAGTCTGCTACATTAAGTAGTAGAGAGAGAGAGAGACGAGAGCGTGCACGAGACTTCAGGTAGAGAGCCGTAACCGACATCAAGCCCTTCAGCATCGCTGGATTTTTGTGAGCCTAAATTGGAATTTGGCTAAGGTGAGCCGCTACCATGTTATAAAAATGTTATACTTGAGTTTCATGAGTAATACAGCTAATTTGGCCTAATCTTTAATGTTGAAGTATTTAAAAAACTAAACTAAGCCTTGGGCATAGAATGAGATTGTCAGAACATGTGAGCAAACATTTAATTAAATACAACGAGTTACTAATTAATGGTTCTACACTAAGTATAGCAGAAGTAATTAGTTTAGAACCTTCTAACTGAAAAAGTGCTAAGGTTAACAAACAAAAAAAATGTAAATATTAGTTAGTATTTTAAATGTAACTATTAGAATGAACTTTATGCATGTTGTTGCCATGATATTTATATTGCTATTTTAACCGTGCTAGAATAATTAATCTTGCAAAACTGACTACACAAAACAAAAGGCAAACAAAGGGACAAAATGTACTAAACCTTTTTGTTCTGCTAACATTACAATAAAGCAAGATATAACGTAGTCATTGAACTGATTGTGGATAGCTATTTTTTTATAAAATGTTAATATTAGGTTGAGGTGTAAATATTATTTGTGAACCACGTTGATAAATTATTTATCGTAGGCTATTTACTTAATCTCTCAATATGTACAGCATGTTATTTAATGATGTTATTTAATTATAAACCCATTCTTAGGTATTATTATTGTTCTAGAGTTGTAATAAATAATTTCAGGCAAAGCTAGAGTACCGTAACAATTGTCAGTCTTACTGATACCTAGCGTATTGAGTTATTGACTACATGTTACACCCTAACATTGGTTATTCACTTTAAAGTACAGTATTTATCACTGTGTAATAGGTTCTCATTAGAAACTGAGCAAGAGTGTTTTGTAAATTATTAATAATGTATTCAGATATAAACTGATTACTAAAGTGTCATTAATGCTTATACTGTAACTGGATAAGAAATACGAATAGGCTATTGTGTGGAACTGTATATAATATATTGGTAGCCTATTTAATTTATATTGTTGGAGTAAAGACTATTCTGGAGTGATTTTGTTTTAAGGGCTTTTTCCCTGGACCTGCGTCTTGGCATTGATTGGTGACCTTGCTGACCCACGAGTGTGATCGTCTGCAGGACTGTTGGACCACGGCGGGTGTCAGCACCGTTGTTTGCACCTCCTCTAGGTGCGCGTAATGTCCTCTACATTACGCGCGGGTCACACTTGCGCTGTGATATCCGGTTGTGGACCGTACGGACAATACGGCCTTTGTGTGTCGTTATCGGTGCTTCTATTCGGTGAGTAGACTTTCATTTTCACACCCTTTGAATCACCCCGGACGGCCGGGCGGCATCGGTCACTATCAAGTGGAACCTGTGACCTTGGACTCTGGCAAGATAAGGATTTGGAGTGAATGACTAATTATGTCCAGTTCTGAGCTCTGAGATAGAAATATTTATTGTCTTGTTTAACTCCTGAATTGAAGCTAGCTATTAAGTGTATTTATATTTATGCATGAGGGTATGTGTTTGTTATATCTTTAGAATAACTTATTATATTTAAATTAAGTTACTATTGGAGTGCTCCTAGGGACTTGATTTGGTATTTAACAGAACTGGCCAGTATTTAATTAAGTAAGTTATTTGCATGAATCTCACTAAGTGATATATATGAGGTTACATTACCTTAATCGCCAAGTGATCCATGTAGTCCAAATCTAGGATTACGAACGTTTCGACGTCAATGCGTCATTGTCAAATCTACAAAAACTTTTTTAAACCATAAGGGTCACGTCATAGTCTTTCCGACACACACAAACGAAACAATACGGACAAAAATACATTTAAGTAGGCCTACTAACTAATTTATGGTAAACGGTCGTCACAACATAGTACAGATCTGATCGCATGCCGAGACTCGACTGATGGTGCGCCGCTTCCTGGTTTATCAACTTGGACTTTGTCCTCTGCCACCTGTATCATCCAGTTGTGAGCTCTCTAGTTTTATGAGGGATTCGAACAATGCATTTGACTGGAAAACACATTTGTCATTCAACAAATTTTGAGGCTGGTTCCGTGTAGCTTTATAAATCTCATAATTTTCCAATGCAGTTAATCTATGTCCTTTTCTGCAAATGTGTAATGGTTTTAAATTACTATTAATATTTGTATAGTTGTGGTTGCTATTGGTCAGATGTGCTGCAAAGTTAGATTTTTGTACAATGGTGGCTTTAGGCAAATGTTCTTTAAACCGCTTTTCGAATGATCGTCCTGTCTGGCCTATGTAGATCTTCTCGCAGTCGTCACAAGTTATTTTGTATACACCGCATTTTTTATTTACATCAACTGTTTCTTTCTTTTTGTTCAAAATATTACCAAGCTTGTTCGATGTTCTAAACGCAACGACCTTACCATGTTTTTGCAGTTCATTTTTTAGTGTTAAGGGGAAATTACTGCCAAATTCAGTTGGTACATAACCTGTTATATTGCCTGTGCTTTTTGAAATTGGGTTTTTGGATCTTTTGGTCTGTTTGTTTATTAATTTATCTATGATGTTAGGGTTGTAGCCGTTGGATACTGCGATATGCTTTAATATGTTTTTCTCAGCTGTGAAGTCTTCAGGGCAGAGTGGTACAGATAATAACCTGTTTACAAAACTGTTATAAGCGGCTAGTTTATGGGACATAGGATGATGTGAGGATGCGTGAATGGTTGTATCAGTTGCTGTAGGTTTTCTATAAATCTTGAATGAGAAGTTGTTGTTGGTTTTGATGAGAGTTAGGTCCAAAAAATTTAGTGAATTGTTCATTTCAATTTCTGCAGTAAATTTCATATTTGGGTGGAGGCTATTCATGAAATTATTAAATACCTGTACTTGTCTAGGATTACCGTCATACAATAGTACTATGTCATCAACATACCTGTAATAAAATACTATTTTATTTCTGTGTCGGTTGTTGTCAGACCATAAATGTTTGTTTTCAAACCTGTTTAGGAAAATTTCCGCAAGAATGCAGGACAGGGGTGAGCCCATAGCTAAGCCTTCGTGTTGTATAAAATATTTTATACAAAATAAATAAATCTCACTAAGTGAGCTATTTATTACTAGCCTAATTGCTCTCCTTCACTTGTAGTTAAGATCTTAGCTTTGGAAGAGAAATAGGCAATACAAGTGTATACAATTCAAACATATGGTCTTTAATTGTGTTTACCTAGTAGTACCACAGGTTATTGTCTAGAAAATTTTGAATCTGATTGATTACTGAGTTTGTTTTGTTTATGAGTTTGGGTGGTTAAATAATTTAAAGGTATACTGCTCATCCAAGTGCTTAAGGCCTAGTTTTGAAAAGTCAGATTAAACTTTTGAGTGCATGGTAGCGGGCTTACACTTGAGGATACCTTAGGGCAGGAAAACATTCCTTGTTGGAGTCCTGCAACTGATCCATCCTAACAACAAGGTGGCGCCCTCTCTCGAGCAAATCCCGACCAACTTGGTAACAATTCAAGGGTGACCTGCTATCAATAATCCAGACTTAGATAAGCTACGAATTTCCCCCACCCCTCACGCCCTTCTCCACTGAGCTAGGCTAGCAAAAGTGATAACTCAGGTGCCAAGGTGGCAACAAGCTGGTAAAATGTGTCGTCGATTGTCCCAATATCCTGAGCGGTATCGGCATTACCACGCCCAGAGGCACACGCTTCAAGACAATCTTCAGTAGACGCTTTTTCCCAGCCTACTATTCCTACAACAGCGGAATTTTCAGTCTGTTTAAGGCTGGTAGCACGGCGGCTGCTCAACTGGGCTTCTTCTGTGAGCCCTCCCGTTCAAAAAGAAGTCTCCTTGCTAACCTGAGAAACCACACCCCTGCTTGTAAATATTGTTTTCGTTGTTACTTTACCAGTGTTAATTTATTGTTATTACTTTCTTAGTCTACTACTTTGTTATAACTATTGTTATTACTTCTTTAGTTTTGTAAAACTATCTTACATGTCAAATCCTGAATTATTGTAAATGCCATCTGTACATAAACATTGTAAAATGGTGTAATCCGTTGGGAAATAATAAATTAATAAACTAAATTTAAAATCTAATCAGTTAAATTGGCTCATCGGAAGAAAATCAAAACCTAGTCTAGAAAACAAATTATTGCTATATAAAACCAGATTGAAACCAATATGGACATATGGAGTGCAACCATGGGGCTTGGCGAGTACTTCTAATATAGAAATTATCCAAGTATACCAATCGACAATGCTGAGGAAAATAACAAATGCACCTCGGTATGTCACCAATAGAACACTACATCAAGACCTTGTTAAGATGCCTACAGTTAAGGACGAAATCATGACCTTAAGTGAACGATGTATTACGAAATTGGAATCTCTTCAAAACCATTTAGCACTGAACTTATTAAACGACACGGATACAATTTACAGACTTAAGACCCCATCAATTCTGGACCTGCCCTCCAGATTTTTGTGAAGTGTTTTACCGAAGAATTTGTTGTTGACAGTACTCAAAAACTGTATTCTGTTTTGTTTATTTCAGCTTAACTTAACCAATCAATAGTTTTATTAATACATATGAAGTCAAACGGGATGAAGCCCGTGGGTAACAGCTAGTTAAGTTAAGCATGAAATGACCAAATTACCCTTGTCTAGATTTTACCAATACCCTTGTGTCAAGGTTGTAGTCATACGTGTCCTAATTTATTTTAGCTTAGTAACGTAGCTTACTTGTGATCTGGACGGTAGTGGGGGACAGACGCTGTGGCTGAGAATCTAAACAGTCGTGGTTAGACTTGTTGTCTGTCTGCGTCTGCGGGGGTGGTGGCAGCTAAAACAACAACATACATAAGATAAGCTACATAATTGTATGATTGATATCGAAGCGGAAATAGTCTTACCCCAAGAAAAATCTACTACTATAACCATGAGTGGGTGGCAGTTTTGCTGCTACAAGGAGAATAATTAAGTGAATTTTACTAGTAAAATGTTGACAGCCTAGTATAAAATAAAGAAATGTTCCAATTTTGATCAAACTAATACCATAAACTAGCAAACTAAAGCAAAATAAAACCCTGTTCCCATAGTCCGATCATGCTGGTTCACAAACTCTTTCGAATAAACGTAGGTTTTACACGTTTGTATTATTATTCCCTATTTAGGAAATCCCCTTAAAATTATGTCACTGGCCCAAATATCGTACAAATAGCCGTTACAGCTGATTTGCAGGTTTAAAAAATGTGAAAACCCAATTTTTACCCCATAAAACATCAACGCGTTAACTTGAATAATCTTTGTTTGATTTTTATGACATTTGGCTAGAAGGTGTAGGGCGGTATAATCTTGAATGTGTTCGCGAACCAGCATGGTTTTATGTTCTAAAAATTGGGTTTTCTAATTTTTGACTCTCAAAACAAAAAAATTCCCAATTTCTCTTTAAACCTTATTAAACGGAAAGTAAATAAAGATACGTCTTATAACACCTAAAACATATATTTACGCTTATACTGTTACTCACAAGACGGTAAATATACAAAAGATGGTAAGTGGTGATCGATTTCGATTGGACACTCCAATCATCATCAGACCCAATAGGCAAATGACAACTTATATCTTTATTTACTTTCCGTAAATTTAATAACACGTAAATGATCAAGAAGTTATTTACCTAATTAAACTATATTTAACTTATAAACTATATCAAAAATTAGAGTTTAGAGATTTCATTTAACACGATAAGTCAGGTTATAACACGGACGGAGAGTGTATTTTCGATCCTCATTATATTTCCTCTACCATTTTCCGACCTCGACGTCAGCGACACGTAGCCTCCGTTTTTTAACTCCGCTTTGGAAAGAGCCACTTCAGGCCCTAGTAATGTACAGTATAAGAAACCCCTGGCATAAATATTACAACCTCCATGACAAGATTCTAGTGAAATATACCTTTAAGAACAATCCTCCCGTAAATAAATTTTAACCTAGTTTTTACACATTACAGAGAACTTACCGTATTGCTGATGGCTGTCATCCAATGGCTAGGAATTGCAAAACAAACATCAACAGCGTAAGACCAGTGTACTAGGCTATATGTTTTAGTTACGTTACTAATAATAAAATTGTTATTATAATAGTAGCTATTGCAGCAAATATTTTGGTGAAAACTGTAGGCTTTTACAAGAATATTATATGACAGACTATAGCCCCTTTTTATGTTGAGCGGTATGTGTGTTCCAAATAAATAAACGATAAAATGTATTGAAAGTTTACGAATTCATTTTTTTCGTATGTTTTTTTACGTTCTCGTACATTTATTTTCGTAAGAACTTAGGAAATTAGTGATTTTTCCTATATTTTGCCTGAAAATTTTGTCTTAAGGCAGGCAAACTGCGGCATTGCTACATCAATTGTATCGTGATATTTTAGTGGACAGAGAGCTCACCGATTACCTATTTTGGAATTTAATTACATTTAAACGAATTTACAACACAGACGTGTGCGAGAGATGAGTGAGTGGAGTTGAATGGTTATGATGATAGCTTTGTTACTGACTAAGACCAGTTAGCTCTAGGGTTATAACAATATGATCTCTAAGGAGAGCTAGGTCCAGCGTCGAACCATCAAAAAGCTAATTACTGTTCTCAGGGTCGAACCAGTGCCCTATATCCACTCTAGGTGCCATCCTATCTTAAATAGGGGATATAACCGACTTAGGTCTATCACATGTACAACTGCATCTTGAGCTGAAGCAGCCATGGGACTGTGTCAGGCATACTCTTCAGACAATGTGTTGCTGATACAACTTTACGTTTAGCTTCATTCAGTTATAATATTTTATTTAATTGGCTGAGCATTACGCTTGGGCGTGATAGTATATACTCACTTGACTTCCTCCTCGGACTGAGCCAGTAGCCAATGGACTTTGTCACCTCCACGGGTGCCGAACGCCATGAGCTGAACGACATGACAGCCCGAGGGCAGCACGGGACGACCAGGGATCCTCAATGTCCATTGGGATACTGCCAGCATCTCAGGGGCTTCCTTGACCACGACACTACCTTCAGGTTCCCCGCGACCCTTCTCCTTGAACCACGCCAGCGTAGAGTCGTCGTACAGCACCACCCACTCCTCCCGCCACGCTCGGCCAAACAAACGCTCTGCAACAAGTGCGTTCAGTGTATTTCATATACATATCAATTTTGAAGAGTAGATTCGTAAACTCTTGTACAATCTAAATTGACACGTTCAAGTACACTCAACCGCTTTAACGGTAAAGTAACCCCTGGAATGTTTGCAAATATAAAAGGGATAGACCCCTTTAATCTCGCACAGAAAAACAAGTTTAAGACACTAAACATTAGGATATGAACACTTCGAAACTTATCTCAGAAGTATAAATATGCGTGGTTCCCAAAAAGAATGTAACATTTAAGTTTTCCTTAATGTAGTTAGCTCATATGATTTGTTTGATTGCTTATCAAAAAAATCATATAACTGAAATAATATAACTTAAGTGCAAGTTCTTCTATAAAAACTTTTAAAAACTCAAAGAGAGGCAAACATATTGACATCAGAGTGCATTTTATAAAAGATCCATGTATGAAAGGAATAATTGATGTGCAGTATGTAGTCAGGATAATCTCGCCGCTCTATGTAAAGAAAGGTTCGTGCAATTGCGCAAGATTATAATGAATATAGACTGATGTAATAATTTGTTGTCGTTAAACCGATTAATATATTTTTTTAAAATCAAAATATCAATCGAGGGGGTGTGTTAAGATATACATTAGTTCTGTTAACACATAATTATTTAAATTGTCTTACTTGTCTGTATTGCATATGATTTCCTTTGTTTTACAAGTGAGTTCTGTTGCTAACACTTAAAGTTATGTCCTGTTAATACAAATAATTGTTCTTCCACGTGCTGCCGTATTTTATTGAAGAATAAAATAATCTAAAACATTATATGTCATGTAGGTGACAATGTTATGTAGTGATATCAAATACATTTTAAAACAAACAATTTAATAATATAATAAAAATGTGTAGTAGTGTTAATAACATTTTAAATAATCTATTGTAATATTAACTAGCTGTTGTACCCGTGCTTCGCAGCGGAAATGAAATTCTGTTAAAACGAAGTAACGAACCCACGACCTGTTTGACCTATATATTGGCTTGGACAGTCTTGGCATTATTTGTATAAACACCTGTCATTTAAATTTTGTCTCTTGATCGGTCAGTTTGTGACAGGGTGACACATATTTACTTACGAATTTTCGAGCAACCTCCACCGTTCCACCATGAAGACAGGTCCTCGCGAAGAGTTTCTATAAAAATGTCGCAACATCGTGCTCTATTAAAGTTGCCCTCCTTTGACTAAAAACCTTTTTTAACATGACAAAAATATCTGTCTGCTTACTTTATTCCTAACACACATCGGGGATTTATTGGGAGAAGGGGTAGCATAAAGGTATTTAGACTTTCCGTCATAGTGGTGCATTTGAAGGTAGGGGAGACTTCGCTAAAAGACTTCGCTTCGAAGAGAGCACTGCAAGTATTTGCTGTTTTTGACTTGTACAGTGAAGTGATGCATTGCTTTGCGATGACATGATGACCTGGCGAGGGAACTCCAAAATTCGCACAATTCTTTGACGAAGTATTTGTAGTTTGTTTACACCACGCTTCATGCCTCATTGCCCTGCTGGATTAGCCACCCCAAAACTACCTGGATCCCTCGGGACCAGTGGAGTCGTTTTAATCCCTGACCTTTTTAGATCCTCGGATTACGGGACCAGCTAACCATTACCCATCCTATCCAAATGTTCGTTTCGTGTTATTTATTTATTGTGTGCGTGTGACAGTAATGTCTTTTATGTATTTGTACCCTGACGATGCCGTTTTAACGGTGAAACATGAAACTTTTTAACCTCACATCGACAACATTTGGATTACTTGACGAGGTAATTATACCACAATATTATAGCCACATTTTTAGTTTAGGGTTCCAGCTTTTTTCTTATTAAGTTTAATTTTTTTTTAAGTTTAGCAGCCGACGCTAACATTCTAAACTAGCTTTTCGTATAATATAATTGCTTAACATAACAGCTGTAAACATTCAGTGTTTGTGACACAAATTCAGCATTTAAATAATAATTAAATACGTAGGGTTGAGTTATTTATACTATGTGTAATGCTATATTTTTGATAGTTCAATCCTTTGGTGAGTGGATGACATCTATCTATATATTAATAGGCAAGCATGTTTCTTTAAAACCTTTTTTCTCAGCTCGTGTGTATCGTAGGGAAAATCTACGCATACCGTTAGAAAGCTATTTTCCTGTAGGTGTGCAGAATCCCTTTATAAATTAAAATAGGCTCAAAAATAAGCACAAAAAATTAATTTGAAATTTTAAAAAAATTAACATGGATCTTATGGGTTGCTATGGTGATGACGGAATAACAACAAAATATAAACAGAAAATCAAAACAAATGGAAGACATTCCAATCACATGTTTTATTTACAGTGTGGGGTGAAAATAGAGAAGTTTGCACAAAACATACTGTTGGTCGATTTTTCGACCACGGGGCGTGCTCTTGTATTATTTAAATATACACAATAAAAAATGGTAAAATACTAGATGTTCAAATTATTTTCAGAGAAGTCTTTAAAATCTTAGGTTTGTTTTAGTGCAAGTAGGGGCAATATGGCAAATATAAGTCCCTTTGAGCGTTTTTCCCCATAAGAATAACATGGGGATCATTTTTAGACACTAATTCCATAAATCCTGATCGTTACCTACATATCCCTATACAATTATTGTCCAACCTTATAAATATAACTAATCCTCACTTATCCCCTATATATATTCAAAATCAAGCGTAAAAAGCGAATTCTTTCATTTATTGACCTACACAAGTGTAAATGTAAATTAGGGGCAAGAGGGCAAAGAGACGACGCTTTAGGCGTTTTTCCCATAAGAATAACATTGTGAGCTTTTTTAGCCATTTTTTTAATACTGCTCTTGGCCTATACAAGCCCATACAAATGTTCTATACTTATTGGCCAACTCCATTAACACTTAAAATCCCCATCAAAGTATGTGATTTTATCTGTGATAGCACCATGGATCTTAAATCCCATATATTGCAAAGTCACAAATTTTTTTAATTTCTGTAAAACAAATGTTATGAACATTTTAAAAGACACATCAATTCTTGCAACAATTGTCCATATACAATGATTATATTTGTTGGTGAATCGATTAGAACTGAACTTGGAAATAATCTTCAGTCTTGTCCTCTGCCGATAAAATTGACTTTAGTAAGGAGAATCAAATTGATAAAATATACAATAGATCAAAATGGAAAATTACCGAATGAAAAAAAAAAAATTATTGCAGATTTTAGAAGCCTTACCACCTTAACTATTGAGAAAAGAGATTTAATACCTCAAATTGAAAATGCTCTTTTAAAGAATGACGCATCGTAAATCGCATTATTTTTTAATTCGTGATTTTGATAAATTAGTGAAGTACGACCATAAAAAGTATTTTTGCAAGTTGTGTTTACAATACTTTACATTAATGATAAATTAGAACGTGACACAATATATTGTAAAAACTTTGATGCCCAACGAGTGGAAATGTCTAAACAAGATACATTACAATTTAAAAATTCAAAATATTAACTTAAAGCCCCATTTGTGATTTATGCAGATTTTGAATGTTTTATAAACTCTAACAGCCATACTCCACCTCGATTTGCATTTGTTGTAGTGAGAGATTCTAAAATTATTTCTGAAGAATTATATAGTGGCGCAAACGTTATGTGCGTGTTTATTTGAGGTTATTTGAGACTTGTGATTTTATTAAAAGTCAAATGGTGATATATATTCCCCTTGTAATGACTCCAGAGCAAGAGGCATCTTTCCAAAACTCAACACATTGTCTCGATGGAATTTAAATAATGCAACACTTGGGAAAGTTTAATCGTAAATTAAATTGCATAGCCAAAGATATGGAAAAGTACATTTCATTCTCTGTTGATGATATAATATTTTTAGATTCCTATAACTTTCTGTCCCTTCCATTATGCAAATTAGCTTCCAATTTAAATACATTTAGATTTATAGACAATTCACTACTACAACGCAAAGGCGTATTTATCTATTAATATATGACGAGACCAGATAAGTTTTCCGAGTCTCTCCCTCCAATAGAAGCATTTTACAGTAATCTAACTAAAAAACATTCTCCCAATGAATATGTACATGCCTGGAGCCATTTTAATATAAATATTTTTTTTTGTTGTTCTTTTCCGAGTTTGTTTGGCCCTTCTACCCGACTGATTTTCATGATTGAGGTCTCAAATTGAAGGTATGCACGCAAAGATTTGCCATCAAGCATCGGCATATAATTATCTATATTCTCACTCTGTTTATACGTAAACGAAATTTGCTCTCCATGTACTTCTTATGGGAGTTAAATTTGGTTTCTCTTTGCCAAGTTCATTTGGGCTCTTCTACCCGACCAATTTTCATGATTGAGGTCTTACATTGAGACATGCACGCAACGACTTCACATCAAGCATCGGCGTATTTTTACCTACAGTATTACTCCAACAAAAAACATAATGTCAATCATTTTCGTATTCTTACTTCAATTAAGATGTATTTCACCAGTTATAATTAATTATATAATCCTATATATTTTCGTATAAGAACCGTCAGTGAAATACCGGCTTTCATTTAAGCTATTAGTTATTCAAATCGGGTGAGTTTCAAGCAAACGCAAGGTGAACAACCAACATAAAAATAATTTTTAATATGGGTTTTCTATAATTAAAAATCAGTAGCTCCACTGTGAGCCACTGCCCGAGGATGAATTTCGTTGGACGAATGAGATAGACTACAATAATAATCAAAATGACGAGTTTGAATACATTTTGGAAGTTGATTTAAAATAATATGATAAAAGCTTACATGATTTACATAATGACTATCCATTAACGCCGGAGAAAATGAATGGCAAATTAATACCTGATTTAAATTTAGTAAAGTAATAATGTATGATTTCCAGTATAATCGTATGTCACAATTTAAGAACAAAATATTTCTGATTCAAAAATGACAGACACTGAGTCTTTAATGTATTC